GCAGTATTTATACAAATAGCTGACTAACTGACTCAGCTAACAACCTTTCAACTAAGCAAACTAAAAGTAGTTACTTATATCTAATACCCCTTCTCAAGTTGGGTCATGAATATTCAAAAGGCCCAACTTGGATATAGCTTGTTGAAAAGGCTGTGGATACAGGCATTTTGTAAAACTATCAGCAATTTGATTTGCAGAGGAGACGTGAAGTAAATGTATTAATCCTTGCTGTAGTTTGATTCTGGTAACATGGCAGTCCACTTCAATGTGTTTTGTTCTTTCGTGAAAAGTGGGATTTTTGGCAATGGCTATTGCAGATTGACTGTCAGAGAATACAGAGTAAGGTTTTGGAATGTCTGCGTGTAGGCTATCTGAAAGGTATTCTAGCCATTGAAGCTCACATGTGAGTGAAGCCAAAGCCTTGTATTCGGCTTCTGATGATGACCTTGCTACGGTTGATTGCTTCTTGGACTTCCATGAAATGAGGGATGCTCCAATGAAGACACAGTAGCCAGTAACTGATCTGCGTGTAGTAGCACATGTAGCCCAATCAGAGTCTGAAAAGGCTTGAATCTTTAGAGGGTTATTGGATGGATAAAATAATCCAAGTCCAGGAGATCCTTTGAGGTATCTGATTATTCTGATGGCTGCTTGCATGTGTGGTGTTCTTGGTTGAGATACAAATTGGCTTAAGTTTTGAACTGAGAAGCTAATGTATGGTCTAGTGTTGGTAAGATATAATAATCTGCCTATGAGCCGTCTAAAAGTAGTTGGATCATCCAGAAGGTCACCATCATCAGCATGAAGTTTGATAGAAGGATCGGAAGGAGTGGATGCTGGTTTAGAGCCAAGTAAACCAAATTCATCAATGAGTTCCAAGCAGTATTTTCTTTGGTTTAGAACTATCCCCTTCTCAGATCTGGCAAGTTCCAGGCCTAAGAAAAATTTTAGAGGACCAATATCCTTGATTTCAAACTTTTGATGGAGATGGTTTTTCACAGTTTGGATTTCTGCCAAATTGTTGCCACTTAAGATCACATCATCCACATAAATCAGTAGAATAGTGATAGAAGATCCTTGAGTTTTGATGAATAAAGAATGATCTGCTGAGCTTTGATTGTACCCAAGATATATGAGTTCAGAATTTAGCTTTTGATTCCAGATTCTGCCAGCTTGTTTCAGGCCATAAAGGGATTTGTTTAGTTTGCAAACAAGCTTTGGGTCTGAAGGGTTTAATCCTTGAGGAGGTATCATGTAAACCTCTTCAACAAGGTCTCCATGTAAGAAGGCGTTATTTACATCAAGTTGATGTAAATGCCAATTATTGATTGAGACAAGAGCTAGAAGAAATCTCACTGTGGTCAGCTTTGCAACAGGTGAGAAGGTTTCAAAATAGTCAAGTCCTTCTGTCTGCGTAAATCCTTTTGCTACTAGACGTGCCTTATGCTTATCGAGTGAACCATCTGCCTTGTATTTAGTTCTATAGACCCATTTGCATCCAATCAATTTCTTGTTTGATGGAAGAGGAACCAGTGACCAAGTATTGTTTTTCAGCAAAGCATCAAGTTCATGCATCATGGCTTCTTTCCAACAATTCTCAGTGATGGCTTGTTTGAAAGTGGTGGGATCAACATGTGTAGAAATGTTGTGACAGAATGTGGTGTGAGCTTGTGAGCATTTAGTGTATGACAAGTGTGAATGCATAGGGTAGAAAGAATTTGAAGTATTATTTGAAGATGAGGAGACATTGTTGTAGCAGTGGTATTGGTTCAAGTAGTTAGGCTTAGTTTTGGTTCTGGTGGAAACTCTGAGTGGGATATGGATGCTTTGTGTATTTGATTGGGTGGTTTGTGCATTATTGTCTTGTAGGGGAGGTGTTTCAACAGGGCAAGATGAAGGCAAACAATAAAGCTCATAGGAATCAAAGGTAGTATCCTTTTCAGTGGAGTGGTCAACTGAATTGGAAGAATTTGGACTAGAAGATGTGTATGGAAAGATGTTTTCATGGAAGATAACATGTCTAGATATGAAAGTGGAGTGAGAATGAAGGTTATATAGAACATGGCCCTTTGTCCCAAGTTTTTGACCAAGATAAAGGCATTTTGATGCTCTAGGAGAAAGTTTGGTTCTGCCAGCAGAAATAGTGGAAGCATAAGCAAGACATCCAAACATTTTAAGTTCTTCCAGATCAGGTTTTTGATTGAACACCAACTCATAAGGTGATTTTTGTTTAAGGAAGTTAGAAGGAAGTCTGTTTATGAGGTGGGTGGCATGTTTTACAGCATAAGACCAGAAGGTTTTTGGAATTTTAGACTGAAAAAGGAGAGCTCTGCAAACATTCATTAGATGTTGGTGTTTTCTTTCAACAATCCCATTTTGTTGGGGGGTTTCAACACAACTGGTTTCATGAAGAATTCCCTTAGAATTATAGAAGTCAGTTAAGAAGAATTCTTTGCCATTGTCAGACCTTATGCGTTTTAATTTGCAGTTGTGTTGATTTTCAGTCAAAAGGATGAAACTGGACAAAAGAACTTTGACTTCGTGTTTATGTTTGAGTAGATGAATCCAAGTGAACCTACTGAAATCATCTACAATGGTCAAGAAGTATTTATGACCTTCAATGGAACTAATAGAAAGAGGTCCCCAAATATCAACATGGATTAGCTCAAAGAAATGATTTGTTCTGTGAGTACTATTGGGGAAGGGAAGTTTTCTCTGTTTAGCAAATGAACAAATATCACATGCATGCACAAAGGGAAGTTTTATTGATTTGTACTGAGAGGATAAAGTTTGCAATACATGATTTGAAGGATGGCCTAGTTTATAGTGCCATAATGTACTCAAATCAAGGGATACATTGTTAACAGAACTGGAAACAATGCTGCAGGTGTTGGTGAGAGTGGAACTGACAGATGCTGGTATGTGTTGAACAAGGTGAAATAGCCCAAACTGTTGTTTAGCTACTCCAATCCTCTTGAAGGTAGGTTTCTGTAAAATGACACAGTCAGTTTCACAAAAGATGACTACACAATTAAGTGTTTTGGTTAGTTTGGGAATGGAAATAAGATGAACATTAAAAGAAGGAACATACAGTGTATCATGTAAGATGATATCACCGATATTAACTATACCAGAAAATTTAGCAATGACAAACTGATCATTAGGTAACCTGACTGATTTAGGAGGAATGGGATTGAGTGAGGTAAAGTGTGATTTAATTGGACATATATGATCAGTAGCACCACTATCAAGGATCCAAGTAGAGTTAATACCAGGATTAGGCACGTGGTGATTGGTTACAGTGTTGACAGTTGAGGAAGAACTCTGAGATTGTTGAACTAAAGCCATTAATGCGTTATATTGATCCTTGGTGAAAGTATAGGCATTTTGGTGGTCATCCTGTTCCTTGACAAGAGAGATAGATGCAAAGGGGGCTATAGAACCAGCAACATTAGCAGAAGATTTTGCATCAGCATTGGTGTTTTTGTTGTAATCGGGTGGGAAACCATATATGTGAAAGCATGTGTCTACAGTATGATTTGTCTTCTTACACTTTGTGCAAAATTTGTTGTTTCTCATTGTATTGTTTTGTTTACCAGATCGTCCTCCTCGATTGGTGATATATCCTCCTCTGGACTGGTGGTTGTAGCCAGTGTTAGGAGTAATTGTGGCAAGAGCAATAGTTTCTTGTGGAATAGAGTGGGATTGACCACCAAATTCACGCTCTTGCTGTTGGATTAGAGAAAAAGTCCGAGTCATAGTTGGTAGTGTATCCATCAGCATAACCTGAGAGCGAACTTGATTAAAATCCTCTCTAAGACCTCGTAAAAGTTTGATAATGTAATCATCGTCTCTTTCCTTTTGAATCTTTGCTAATATTCCGCAGGAGCAAGCAGGTGAGCATGTACATTTTAGAACAGTTCGATATAGTGACAATTCCTTCCATAGTGTTCGTAGACGGGTAAAGTATTGAGAAACGTTTTGGTCACCTTGGCGACAGTTCTGAATTTCTTCTTGCAGGTCAGCTATGCGGAATTTGTCTCCATGTGAGAATCTGTCGCTGAGATCGCGCCAAATTTCCGATGCGGATTCAATCCACGTGACGGATTGGCAAATTGATGATGACATCGAGCGACTGAGCCATGATACAACCATCTTGTTGCATCTACGACAGGCTTCGTAAAGAGGATCTGTGGCGCTAGGGCATGGCAGTGTGTTGAGAACAAATTGGTCCTTGTTCTTCGTCTGTAGTGCGATCAGTATATCGTGTTTCCATTGAGGAAAGTTGTTTTCTTCTAACAGAGGTGTAACGAGAATCAGAGATGGATTCTCGCCAGGATGTAGAAAAAGAGGATTTGCTGGATTCACCAAATGATCTGGAAGCGCCATTGTTGTGCGAGGAGGTCTACGAAGAAAGAAGGTCTGAACCTTGCTCTGATACCATGATAGTTTGTTGATAGTCGGCCGAATGAAGAAGAAAGAAAACTGAATGTATTAGAAAAATGAAAGTTGTCTTACAAAATGTCATATGTGCAGTATTTATACAAATAGCTGACTAACTGACTCAGCTAACAACCTTTCAACTAAGCAAACTAAAAGTAGTTACTTATATCTAATACAAATTAGCTTGCAAACATGGCCGGAACTCCAAATACAGATTAAACAAATCAAGGTAACGCCTTATAACTTTTTTACTTTTTAAATCGAACAATAAAACTTCTTGTCACAGTTGTCCCATTAATTGTGGGACATAAAATGTAACACACATCAAGTGTAACACAAATATTGAGCTTCGAAAAAAGTTCAACACAAATATTTAAAAAATTGTTGCGCACTTATTAGATTTTATAAAAGTAAGAATGTTGAATAATTTTTAAAATGTGACACATATCATGGAAAGATTTTAGAAAGGTGACAAACAGTCAAACACTGGGCATATTGAATATTTTTAATAAATGATTTATTTTATTTTGCTCTACTCAAATCTCAACACAAAATAATGTCAAGCTGATAGAAAATTTGCATTTCGACTTATAATTAATCACTAATAATTTGTCAACTAATCAAATACAGACTGACATTTTCTACCAATGAATACTTATTTTCGTTCATTTTAATCTTTTCACAAACCACCATACATAGTTACAAACTATTAGTCCATGTTATTTATATCTATCAACACTTGATGTAAAAGCGAAAGTAACATCTAACAAGAAAGTAATACAAGTATATAACCCATTATATCTACGACCTCTCTTACGATATACCAATCTCCTCCGAGAATGAAAGGATAGCCCTGCCACCACCGAACCCTAACTATGATTAGTTTAGCTGTGTATGTCCTCACCTTAAACAGGCGAAAACAAAAGCTTCTAAGTTCTAAAGAGGGTTGTCAAAACTGGCAAGAAGACCCGAGCCTATGAAGCTGCTTCTGACCAAGGGTGACTGACCTCCGCTTAGCGAAAGCCGGGTGCACTACTTCTAGAAACTTTTCCAAAAACATTGCCCACTCTTCCTCCTTCATACCCCCCAGCTTCACAAAGCCAACACTGCGGCGTATCTCCTCGTCTGCACTACGGTGCGACGTAGATGACGTGATCGTGTGCCCCCTTTCCAGTTTTGAACTCCCGAGAAGATTCCGATGCAGCTTCATGTTACTCTTTCTAGAACCTTCATGCGTCTCCATCCTCCCTCCAAATGCAAAACCAAAAGGAGTAGCATCACACTCACCACCACCACGACCACCACCATCATCAAAATCCAAGTCAAACTGGAAACTATTGCTCTCGTCATCATATAAAATCTCCTCCTCCACCTTCTCAGCAACCACCAGTTTACTTGCCTCCATACATATTGTCTCCAATTCACTGGGTCCTTCATCACCTCCATGAAACTCTCTGCTCATCATCTCGCCTATCTCTGCCAGGCAGAGCCCGTACGTAGCAGCTTCCTTGAGAAAAACCGTGCAGAGGACCAAAACCCTAAGGCAAGCTTCACGGATCATTGGGAGCTCTCTTCTGAGCATCTCAGAATCACGGGCAGGATCAAGCTTGTTTATGTAGTTGAGTTCTTCATCGGAGAACGGAATGGAGGATTGCGGCCAATGGATCCATTCAAAGTATGGATCCTCTAGGGTTTCGGGTAAACAGAGGCCATGATCTATGGGAATGAGTTCGACCTGACCAAACTGTCCGCGTTTCCTGACCAAAAGATTTCCTCCATGCCTATCTGTGTTGAAGATCCTTATGTCTAATATCCCAACACGGTGCACAGAAGAAACAGGAAAGCCGGAGGTTCCATAGTCGCTGGCATCAAAATCGTGCGAGATGAACTGCTGGAAAGATGCAATCTTGGTTACGGGCAGGTTCTTCTTGGATCCATTCACGCTGTCATTAACGTTGAATATAGAGTGGGTGATCTTGACCAGTGCGGTGGGTGGCACGTTGGCAAAATGGTGGTGGTCCAGAAGATAAGCAGCGACTTCTCTGAAACCCGTTTCACCAACCCGGACTGACCGTTTCAATCCAGGCTGTCCTAAAGTTTTCCCAACGAACCCTTTCGGATTGTTTGGCGCATAGGGTTCTTCATCGGTTGGTTTCACAATCGCCACACTGTCCTCTCTGCTGTTCCTAAAATAATAAGCGCCGCCGAGTCCACTGCTGACTCGTAGTGGGTCAATCCCGGCCTTCATTCCTTCAACGGTTTCGTTGACAAGTTGTTCCATTAAAGCAAAGCTACTGCTGGACTGCCCCAATATCTCAATGGGCCTGCCGATTTGATCTGCTCTGTGATGGATTTCTGTCTCAGAGGGAGATGGTGAGAGACAGGGAGATGATGAGCTTCTGTGCAAGTGATTCCTAGTGAAAAGAATCGCAGAGTCTTCACGAATGGCCGTAAGGTCATTTTTCAATACCAAATCGCCAAACGTCAAAGAGCACTCATCAGTTGGAACATTTAGGGCAATCTGTAGCCTTCTTTTCACTGTGTGGGCATTGTCATTCCTGTCCAACTCCATCCCAACTACACATCCTGTCTCTGTCTGCACAAAAACACGTCTCCTCCCAACAGGTTTCCCTTGCCTGCTACTCTTATTTCCATGGTACTCCCTGCCAAGTGGACTTCTGAAAATTGCCATGGCCATCAAGAATCTTCTCTGGGCTGCCTAGTTTAGAACACACACAAAAACATGAGATTTAAAATTTAAAATATTTGAAAAGATACAAAGAAACTTAATCACAAACCCCTATGTTATGTCAACATACCAGTAATCAGAACCAGGAAACAGGAGTACACCACCTAATCTTATAACGAATGTGCCATCTTGAGTGTATGCCTGCAAGCTGTAAAAAGAAAATTATATTTCAAATAGATCTGATAATTATTAATGCTATACTATATAGAATGTCATCAGAACATGGAATAGCTCACTGATTTCTTGATAAGGTAGGAAAACTGCACTAGGTACTTCACGATATAACCCAAGAAATACTTTATAAATCCTTATAGAAAGAATTGGCTTAGCAGTTAGTGAACATTTAAAGCTCTACTTGTAAGCAGACAAAGCTTACCCTCAAACCTAAAAGGTTTTTAATACGAGTTTAGTACTAATCAGAAAAGGCAATTGTAAAATACTACCTAAATAGCTCATAATCTAAGTTGAGATACTTAATCCACCACTAGATAACATAATTGAAGTGTTTCTGCATTCAATTATCATGACTTTTTACTACATGACATAATTCGACAGTAATCTCTACAACTCAGTCACAAGTCGCGATTATTTTTACACAGTTTTCCAGAAATCAAACTCAGTGCCCTGTCACAAAGGTCATTCGCATCGATTATCTTGCATCTGTGGAACTCGTCCAAGAAGTGACAGATAAGAATCATTTCAAGCAATTAATGTTAAAGACTAACCGCCGAGGCCGGTCGGAGAGGTCGGGGATTACAGGAGCCGAGATATTACAATCAACGTACAACAGTCTGATTAAGAAGGCTAAACTATAAAATACTTGTGATCATCGGAGTGAGCAGACGCCGATCAGGCCGATACAAAACCGATACGCCGATTCGAAGCTCTGCTTCGCCTGAGACGGCGATATCTTTCTCTCTCACCTTTTCTCTTTGAATTTTTTTATTCAATGTATATATACACACACAAATAACACAGTATAAAATGATTTATTATTAATTTTAGAAGAAAAAATGCTTTCTTTCTCTCCGTAGGCCGTAGCTATCTTTTTTCTTTCTTTCCTTTTTACTTTTTCGTCTGAAATGGATTAGAACTAAACGCGTTGAATTAACCATGGTTAAACGGCATCTAAGTTGTTCTTGACCGTTACATTACATGTGTTTTTCAAGATCACGGGGCCATGTGAAGCTGACGTGGTGATAAACTATAGGGGTGATGATGTGCTTAATAGATAGAATATCGATGAAACCATTCAAAATATCTCCAATGCTACAATGTGTGCGGTGCACATGTGGAATAAGAGATAGTCACATAAATATTAACAAATAAATTATATATTCCTTTTTTGAATGATTTTATAAAATTTTGATAAGTTTTTCTCCACAATGTCAAGAAGGCCGTCTAGATGTTGACATTGTGATTGACATTGCAGAAAAATATAAGTAATTGTCTCATATAGGACTAATAATAAACATTAGTGCACAAATAGGACCAAACGTTTTTAATTCCCTAAATAGGACTCCGAATTACCATTATACCCTCCTATATAATAATATTTTTTTTGAAAACAAATAACTTAATTATTATTAATGAAGATGACAAGAAACATTACAATAATAAAACTCAAGGCTACAATGGGATGAGCCATAGAAACGGACGCTTCAAATCGAAAACGCCGAATCGCTAATCCCGCAAAGAAGTAGACTCTACCTGCAGTCTGCAGATTGACTGCTCCTGCTACGATCACAATAATTATCAAAAGAACTCTTAAACATCCCACTTTCTCCAGCCACCGGTAAGGAGCCAACTGTAGAATTTATTCCGGTTTCACCAGCCACCGAAAAGAAAGCAACCCAAATGATCTCATCTTCCTGGAACGGTGGTGGTTCAAGAGGGGGACGATCCGTCTCAATATCATCGTAGAAGAAAATCATGTTCTTGATTGATGAAGAGATGGGTGGAAATCTCTTCTTAGCACACAAAAACGCCCGACCGAAAGTGGAGGGGAATATGGATCTGGCAGACGATATTTCGCTACCAAAAATAATACCTCCAAACAACGTTGGGAAAGAAACACATGAATAAAACTGAAAACACTTATTGAGAAGATGTTTTTCTATTATTGAAATCAAAGAAGATTGAAAGAAGAGGAGAAAAGAAGAGAAAAAGAGGAGGAGGCGGCTTGGATTTCCCCATGCCATTGCCGCTCCTCTATTAGGGAGTACTTACCTATAGAATAATATTAAAACCTAATTTTCTATAGCTCGATCTCTCCCTGCACCTCTCATCTCCATTCTCGATCTGTAAGTGGTTGCGCCTCTCTGCCCTCTCCCTGCATCTCTCTGCCTCGTTTCAACGGTGTTTCTTCACCGCCAATCAACTTCGTCGTCGCTGGTAGTCCATCGACGCCGCCGACTCATTGTTTCTCCATCGCCATAATCGCCACCCCCTTATTCCAGGTTTCCTTTTTCTTTCTTTCTTCTTCTACTCCTCCTTTTCTTCTTCTCTTCTTTTTCTTCTTCTTCTTCTTCTTCTTCTTCTTCTTCTTCCTCTCCTCCTCTGTTTTCCGTTTACAAAATCAAACGCTATTCACTGATTTTGTTGTTTGTTGGTAGAACTTTTCAATTTGTTGAGTTTTGCAATTAACTTTTCTGGTTTTGGGGCATTGATTTCATAGTTTAGATTTCTGATTTCAATAAATTTTTTATTTATTTAAAAACTCTGTTTTTCTACAATTTTAGATATTGGGTTTGTATTTTTCCAAATTTATGGTAGTTTGACATAATATGTTATGGCAGAAAACTTGTATTTTGACATCCATTTGAAACTTGACACTGTTGCCAATTATATGGCAGATTTGCATATGACATTATGGCAGAAAAATATTATTTTCTTTGAAATGAATTGCCAAATCTATTAAGAGGAACTGCCAATATAATGTTCATTTTTTATAAAAGATGGGGAAAATTATTTTTTATGCTGTCAATAAAAGATATATTTTTGCAGAAACATGTCATTTTCAATGAAAGTCGGCGGTGGCGGCACCGGAAGTGACAGCGGTGATGGTGTCGGATGTGGCAAAGCTGGGAGTTGCGGCTCTGGGAATGGCGGCGGCGGCATCCGGGCTGCTGGAGGCAGCATGGAACCTAGGATTTAGAAAGCTTTTTCTATTTTTTTTATTTTTAATTGGAAATGAATTTAGAAATTCATTAAGGGTAATTTTGTAAAGTCAGCACATTTTTAGTCCTATAAAACATGGAAGTCCTATTTGTGCATTTCTTCATTGTTTTAATCCTATTTAGGGAATTAACTCAAAAAATATTTACCGAAATTGTATAAATTCATTCAAATAAGGAGACAAATAATTTATTTGTTAATATTTATGTGCTTATATCTCATGTCACATGTGCACCGTGCATATTGTATCATTGGAGATGCTCTCATATAATGGTGTAATTGTGAAATTGGATCGTTTTTGGTACAATTGTATCCTTTTCCATTTGTATTATGAAGATGTTTGGAAAATGTTCATTAAAAGTTTCAAAATATCAAGGGATGATTGCCTAATTACTAAAATACATTGTATTTACGCTAAAAGTGCTCTATTTTCTCTGAAAATACTAAATCATAGAGATAAGGCTAAGTATTTGTGACACTCATATCTCAATAAAAAAGTGACGGTTTGATCACTTTTAGCGTTTTCAATAAATGAAAACGTTGTTTGGTAAATAGCTTTTTGGCCCTAGCGTTTTTGGATGAAACCGTTGAAATGGAAACACTGCAAATATGAGAGTTTTGGATTAGCGTTATGAAAATGGTGTTTTCTACTAATTTTTATGATTGCTAACCAGTAACTGCTAAATGCCAAACACATCTTTGTCACAGACCAACTTCAAGTCAAAATTGCTTAGAGATATGGCAACTTCGAAATATGGTTGATTTCGTTAACCCAAAAACACTCAATTTGTTCCTTTGATTAATCTGTGATCTTTTATCCTTAATGAATCCTTTATCCTTTTCTTGATGGGCTTGTTCAACTGGGTCGGCTCGAGCTCTGGGTTGTTGGACCCAATAACCATCTAATCAAAATTTAAGCCAAATTTCGTAACATGATTGATTTCGTAAACCCGAAAAATCCCAATTTGTAAATCAGTTGAGTGCAAGACGTGTTGCATAATATCTTATGACATTTCACTCTTGGTAGCTTCAAAGTGACAGGCAACATGCATTTCTTTGTTTTAACATAGCACTACCAAAGGCAGAGTCAGGGCATTGGGCCGGACAAGGCTGGTGCAAATAATATTTTTGAAAAACAATTACACAAAATGTTTTACATTAAAAATGTAGACATTTTTAAAATATGAGGTGGGTCGGGGCTAGAGTTGGCCCCCACTATCCACACCACTGGCAACTACCACTTTGGAAGCCCGTGGATTCTTGGAGTTTAATCAATTTAAAACCTAAAAGATAATGTGTGTCAATATAAGAATTGAATGATCGCAAACTATCCAGACCTAGATATCATAATTTTTTATTTATTTAATTTTTAAAATAATCCCATTGCTAATTTTTTATGATTTTTCTTAACAAATGTTTGTTACTTTAATAAGAATGAATAATATTTATATTTTTTAAATAAACAAATATTAAAATTTAGGTAGTTTGGACCTTAAATTGATAGTTTTCAACCGTACACATTATATATCAATACATTTTATTTTTCAGATCCCTTATTGATGGTGAAATTATCTCTTATGTCCCATAATACAAGTAGATTTTCAGTATGTTATAGTTCTTAGGTCCACTTTCCATTTATCCCACTTTTACGATTAATACAATCCTACAAAGATTTTTCAGGCAGAAGGCGGCAAATTATGTCGTACAACTAGTTTTACATGCGCACTGTGCAACTGAACTTTTGTCGCAGTCGTGCTTCATTTATCATCGTTACACAGCTCGATAACTCACTGTTCGCACCCATGTTTGCTGCTCGGCGCTCGTTGCTTGATACACGGCTCGTTCTTCGCATCCAAACAGCCATACACTTGTCTCGCAGCTCCATGGCACCTCCTGGCCGACGAAAGTCACACGAGCACCGCAAGTAAGATTGGTGTTCTTCATGACCACATTGAAAATTATCACATAGTCTCATATGCTTAAAAGTGAAAAACACGGTACCCAATCAAGATGCTTTGATGCTCAATGAAAGCTCTAATAATGCTCAACGAGGATGTTTGATCACATAGTCTCAATGCTCAATAGTACATAAGTAACATAACATGATAGTCAATGAAGATCTTTTGATGCTCAATGCTAGTTCTATTGTTCAATGAAGATGTTTCACATGATCATAGTGCTCAATTGTAGAGAACACAATACTCAATGAAGATGTTTAGATGCTCAATAAGTTTTTAAAATTTTATATATTCCTCAGTTCTTTAATGGTTGCAATAATTTGACTTTCACATTTTTCAACGCACAACTTTGCCCGTAATTATAATTAATTATGTGTTAGTAAACATTATTAAAAGTTAATGTTTTGGAAATTCACATTAATAGAAATTTAATAACATTTATACATATTAATAATTTGATTTTATATATTAGTAGACAATTATGGGTAAAATAAGATGTGTGAATAGTGCAAAAATATCAAGGTTAGCGTTGCAAGTATTAAAGAATGAAGGAAGTATTCAATTGCAGAGTTTCAATACTCAACGGGAAAGACTTGATGCTCAATGCAAATATTTTAAAGCTCAACTGAGAGACCTCATGATTTCCACATCAAGGGATATTTCTAAAGTATAATATTAAATTAAATTCACGTAATGAAATTCATAGGAGTTGGTTATAGATTTAATTTAAGAAATATTTATGAAAGCAAAAACAAGAAAAAGAATGTGAAACACAAGACATGAATCATAGATTATAATGCTTCATATTAGACTCTTAATGCTCAACAAAATAAGACGGATGTTCAATACAAGTGCATTGATGTTTAGTTATCAGAAGTCGTGTTTTTTAACTAAATTACAAAAAGGTCTGGCTG